TCTAAGAAAATTATATTACAGCGAACCACATTATTTTAATTGATTTCTTTGCCAGGTAGTCGTCTGTCACTTCGTTTGTGGTTTTATCACAGATAACAGACATCTAAGTCAAATTCCTAAGGTGTGTAAGGAATTTAACTGCTATTTTGAATAGACATTTGAAACTAGCAATATCGTGGTGGTGCTAGTGTCGCTGCCCATCGACGTCGATGACCGGCAGACGTCATCTTAACATAAATGTCAAAATTGTTGTGAGCAAAACATTGTTTGTTTAAATCCGATCAAAACATGGGCCGCAAGTGCGAGTTTCATTTACTTACTTACTTACTTAAGTGTCCTGAGCGCCATCCCTGGCGCAAAGGGCCAACGTGAAAGATCTCCATCCTGGGCGATTGTTTGCTTTCGCCTTGACCTGGGCCCAGGTCAAATTCCGGTCGACTTGCTTAATCTCCTTGTTTAGGCTTCGCCGCCATGAGCCCCTGGGTCTGCCTCTGCTGCGATGTCCGGCTGGATTCCAATCCAGCGCTTGTTTGCAGATTTCATTTCCGCTCTTCCGTAGAGTGTGGCCAACCCACCTCCACTTACGTTCCCGAATTTCTGTCGATATCGGCTTCTGGTGACACCGTCGATGGAGCTCGGCATTCGAAATCCAGTTGTGAGGCCACCAAGCACGAATTATATACCGCAGGCATCGGTTGATGAACACCTGCAGCTTCTGTGTGATCTCCGCTGATACGCACCATGTTTCGCTAGCGTACAGCAGTACAGATTTCACGTTAGAGTTGAAAATTCGGATCTTCGTGCGGAGACTAATCTGATTTGACTTCCAGATGTTTCGTAAACTCGCAAAAGCAGCCCTTGCCTTCTTGATCCGTGCACCTATGTCACTCTTGGTTCCGCCGTCCGACGCTATCTGGCTGCCAAGATATTGGAAACTTTCAACCTTCTCCACTTCCTGACCAGCTACCGTAAAATTGGATGGATTTCCCGTGTTGATATCCAACGATTTAGTCTTGCTGACGTTGATGTTGAGACCTGCCGCTGAGGAGCGTTCGGCGAGATCGTCGAGCTTACTCTGCATGTCAGAACGCCGTTGTGATACTAAAGCAACGTCATCCGCCAAATCTAGGTCGTTTAGATGCTCCATTGTAATAGGCTGCCAGAGCAACCCACGGTTCGGCACACGGTCGATCGCACCAACCATTATCTCGTCGATTACGATGAGGAACAGTAGCGGTGATAGAATACATCCTTGCCTCACTCCAGCGACTACCCGAATAGGGTCAGATAGGGCTCCGTTGTGCAGCACCCTGCACGTGAAAGCCTCATACTGAGCTTCGATGAGGTTGACGATTTTATCCGGAACTCCCTTGCGCCTTAGGGCGCCCCACAGGTTTTCGTGGTTGAGTCGGTCGAAAGCTTTTTCGTAGTCAATGAAAACCAAGTAAAGGGACTCTTGGAATTCGTTGACCTGCTCCAAGATTATGCGGAGCGAGACAATATGGTCCACACAGGATCTTCCAGCACGGAATCCCGCCTGCTGCCGTCGGAGAGTCGCGTCGATCTTCTCCTGTATCCGGTTGAGGATAACTTTGCATAGAACTTTGAGAACACAACACAGTAACATAATGCCACGCCAGTTATCGCATACAGTTGGGTCCCCCTTCTTTGGGACCTTCACTAAGACGCCCTGCATCCAGTCAGCCGGAAAAGTCGCGGTGTCCCAGATATTGCAGAATAGTTGATGCAACATTTGTGCAGATAGCATGGGGTCAGCTTTGAGCATCTCTGCTGATATGCGATCGACCCCGGGAGCCTTGTTGGATTTCATGGTTCGGATAGCAGCTTCGATCTCCGGTAGGGATGGCGCCTCAGAATTGACGCGAGTGATGCGTCGCACTCTTGGCGGTTCATGCCGAGATGTTGATGGCTGGTTGACCGACGAAACTTGTAGAAGCTGTTCGAAGTGTTCAAACCAGCGTTTCAGCTGATCAGTGGGGTCGGTGAGCAACTGACCAGTCGCGTCCTTCACTGGCATCCTAGGATTCATCCTTGCTCCACTCAGGCGTCGTGAGATATCGTAGAGGAGACGGATATCGCCTGTTGCTGCGGCTTTCTCACCTTCATCGGCTAGGGAGTCCACCCACGCTCGCTTATCCCGCCTACACGAGCGCTTCACTTCCTTCTCGAGAGCCGAATACAGTTGGCGGGCCTGGTTCTTCGCTCCTCTGGTTCTCGCCCGCTCTATCGCGGCTTTTGCATTTCTCCGCTCCTCTATCTTCCTCCAGGTGTCATCCGTGATCCACTCCTTTCTCTGAGCGCGCAGCTCGCCCAGGTTGTTTTCACTCGTTTCAGTAAAGGCATCCTTGATCGCCGTCCATTGCTCTTCTACGCTGCCACCATCAGGAATATCCGCAGCTCTGGTCTCCAGTTCCTCGACGAATGACCTTTTTACTGCTGGATCTTCCAATCGGCGTGTGTTGAATCGCCGTCCGAGCCGCTCCTCCCGCCGCTGGACCCGCGCGATACGAAGGCGGATCTCTCCAACGAGGAGATGGTGGTCAGACGCGATGTCGGCACTGCGTTTGTTCCGAACGTCAAGAAGGCTCCTTCTCCATTTTCGGCTGATGCAGATGTGGTCGATTTGATTTTCGGTATGTCCATCACGGGAAACCCACGTGACTTTGTGCACTGGTCGATGGGGGAAGAGCGAACCCCCGATCACCATGTCGTTATTGCCACAAAACTCTGCCAACAGCTCACCGTTTTCGCTCATTTCGCCAAGACCATGGCGCCCCATGACACGCTCATAATCCGTGTTGTCGGAGCCGATCTTCGCATTGAAGTCGCCGATGTAGATCTTGATGTCACCTCTCGGAATTTTATCCACGACTGCATTCAGTTGACTGTAAAAGTTCTCTTTGTCCTGTAACTCGGCAGCATCGGTTGGCGCATAACGAGTTTCATTGGTGCGCAAATAAACAAGGTGTTACCAAGCGAAAATCTTTTCACAATTTTCCTGCACAAACTACAGGAGATTTTCTTCTCACGTAAAGTCCAAGCACTTGCAACAAAAAATTTATGTTCCGACCACTTCCCCCGGAGGCTTTTAGAATTCCTGGATGAACGGATGCAGGGTAAGCAGTGTTCAAATCTTACCACATTTTTCTGAATTTAAATGAGGGTTAATTATTAGAGTTCACACCATCATTGAATCATTTGAAGATACGCCGCCAGTGAACTAATAAAAAAGTAAGTTTTGCTCCTGACTACTATGCCCAGTTCAAATTGGAGCGAAAACGGTTGTAGATCTACAGGAAACTGTAAAAGAGTTTAGTCCGCAGAAACTCGATTGATTTCCATTGCTTTGTCTTGTTTGTTTTGAACTGATTTGACAGTTCATTTGAATACACGGTCAATAAGATCAACCCAAATTTTAGTTCAGTTAACTAATTAATCGCAAAAAGTGATAACTCGAGTCGCAACATTTCGTATGGCGGCGCTAGTGTTTCTAACGTATTTTATTTGAATTCTTCAAAAAATTTGTTCAAACTTGAATGTCTGTTCTCTGTGGTTTTATTATGTTCAGGGATGCTCTTAGTATTAATTGCAGGAACTTTCAAGAAGTACCGAGGAACTATATAATATTCCGCGAATTTCTATAATGTTCCAAAAATTTCTAGAAAACTGTGGGGTCTTCAGAGAAGTTCCATGAATATAAGGAATATTTTTTAGAACGTAAGAGAAGTTCCGAGAATTTCTTGTAAATTTGGAGAGCTTCATGGAGGAACGAAAACTCCAGGCAAGTCCAAAGAAGCTCAGGGAATTTTAGAAATTTCAAAGGAAGTTTTATGAGCTTCAAGGATCAAAAACCGAAGAATTTGAAAGCAGTTTAATTAACTTCTGGAAAATTACGGGAACTTGTTAAAAGTTCTAAGAAATTCAGGAAAGTCTAGAGATCTTTATTGAACAGTAGAGATCTCTAAAACAGTTCCATTTACTTCAAGGAAAGACCGAAAACTTTGAAAAAAATCTAGAAATTCGGGGAATTTTTTGTTTGTTTCGGCTTTTCAGTCTCCAAGAAAACGTGCTGATTACAGTTTTATCATTGTCATCGTTTCAATCCAGGGGATAAGATATGAGATCTTCATCAGGGCTAGTTTTAGATTAAGATCGTAAAACTTTTTGCGCTGTACGAAAGACGGCATAACTTTATATCTCCTGAGATAGGACAAGTTCAAAGACGGCAACGTTTTAAATAAAATATTGTAGCGTTTAGATTAGTATTTTTAAGTATTATGGCGAGCTTATGCAGACTAATTTTACCCGTAGTTATAGGGATCTAAATTGTGTTTAAATTAACAAATCTTGGCCAAGATTCCAGCCTTAGACTTCAAGCAAACCAGTCGAAGATTAGTTTAGCCCTAACTTGAGAATGCCGCCTGGGTTGCTACGGAATTCCACAGAATCCTACCTTGGATTCCAAGTCAATCCATCGCCGATTCCATAGAGATTCCTAGGAAATTCGTAATTCATCTGAATCCTGCTATGAGAGTCCCGCTTGCGCTTGCACAGAATATCGTCTTAAATTCCATGCAAACCAGTTAACATACCACAGAATTCTGTCGTCTGAGTTTCCACAGAATCCCGCCTTAAATTCACTGTCTTCCGAATCCCACCTGGGATTCCACAGCATATCGGCTTTCGATTCCAAGCAAATCCTTCTGAAATTCTACAGAACATCTTCTAGTGCATTCCAACAATCTAACAATTCCTAACATGCTGAGCTCTCTCACTTCGTTGAACTCGTCTACCGAACCCCGGAACGGTTCAAATAGTAATATAGCCATAGAAATGATCGCGAATTCGTCAAACAAACTTCCGCATTATCTCCATCATTCGCACGCAGACTCCTGTTGCTTAGTTTGATAAGCCAGATGATGAAATTTTCATCATCATCATCATCATTCGATGATAAGAACTAAGAACACAGACCAAGCGAGACAAAGCAGCAGCTGCCATGAAGGTAGCTTCCCCTGTTAGGCCGCGTGTTTGTATAATTTACGATACGTTTACTCGTGTTATTATAGAGGGCATGCTGATAACAAAGATGGGCTAAATTTGGTTAGAAACAGTTATCCGAGCCTCTCCGATTGCCATTTATTAAGAGTATCAACCTGTACGCAAAGCGTGCAGCTTGTAGTTTGTTAATCCCATTGACAGGTACAGTTTGCGTCTGGATCCAGCACGAATAGTACGTTGAACTTTGGAACACCTGCTGCAGGATGGAGATCGTAGAAAGGAAGGGATCAGGTACGTTTAAATCCAGGCGGGAAAATTCGAATCTTTACTCAACTTTCTTTTTCAAACTTCAGTTGGCAAATCGAGCAGCTTGACTATGGAGGATGCTCTAGCGATGGCAAGTAAGGAACCTTACAAATGCGACCCTGATAAACATAGCAAATGTGCCTTAACTAAGTTCTTCGGTTGCAGAATTCGGCATTTTCAACGTAGTCCTGATAATAGTGTCGGGAACCATCCTGGCTTCATTTTTGCTGGAAATCCTCGGTGTTAGCTACATCATTCCGGTGATTGGTCAGGACTTGGATGTTTCTACGAAGGAAAAAGGTGTGCTCAGTGCAGTGGGCTTTGCCGGGGTTATCGTCAGCTCGCATCTCTGGGGATTCCTAGCGGACACGTACGGTCGGCGGAAAATCATCATCCCGGCGTTGTTAATCACCTTCGTAATCAGCACGGTCTCCAGTTTCACCGCCAATTTCTGGGTGATCGTCTTCCTGCGGTTCATGGTGGGATTCTTGTGAGGTCCAGATTCTAGATTTTTTGGCAGACAACTTCAACCATCATTTATTTTGCAGCATTTCCGGTCCATCGTCGGCCACCTACGCCTATTTGGGAGAATTCCATAGCCGCAAAAATGCATCCCGGGCTATCATGGGAGCTTCCGTGGTGTTCGGAACAGGTGGTATATTACTTCCCGGTCTTGCCTACATCGTGATCAACCAGGGCTGGGAGCTGCCTCTTCCCTTCTTAGGCATCATCTATAGACCCTGGCGGCTCTATCTGATTGTATGCAGCTTACCGGGACTGATCTGTGCCTTGATATTGCTTAAATTCCCCGAGACCCCCAAGTTCACGTTCAACCAAGGTGACACGAAGCAAGCGATCGAGGCCATCCAGTGGGTGTATCGGTTCAACTCCCTGTGCAGAAAATCAGTTCCGCTTGTGATTGAATCCATCCAAGAAGATGCGGATGATCAACAGGAACGGGAGAAGCGGGATGCGCTGAGGAACACTAAGGGTTGTCTAGCCCTCATGCAACTGGTTTGGAACCAGACTGCTCCGCTATTTATGAGTCAACATCTGCAGAAGACGGTGATTGTATGTATTCTTCAGTTTGGCACGTACTTGGCGGCACACGGGATGTTCATGTTCTTCCCGGAGATTGTCAACCAGCTGGTTATCGTGAGGGACTCCGGCGTCAGTAGGGCCACCATGTGCGAGGTTATCTACCAGTATGGAAACTTCAGCGCCGTAAAGGAAGATCAGCAGGGCAACCTGATGTTGGAACCGGCTGCTTTTCAGCTTTCGTTTGTCCTGGAGCTAATCTACGCGGTGGGATTCGCCGTCATCGGAATGATTATCAACGCCGTCGGAAGGTTGCCCATATTGGTGTTCGTGTTCGTGACCTGTGGCGTAGCTGGGCTACTGCTGTTCGTAGTGGATATACCGATTGCGGTGATCTGGTTGTATATAGTGTTCCTGTGCAGCGGATATACGGCGGTCGTGGTCAACGCGATCATAGTGGATCTCTATCCGACCAGTTTACGGTAGGTCAAGGTCATGTTGGGGATGCCTGCGGGAAGAGCTTACCGAAATTGTTTTTGATCTATTCTAGGGCAATGGCCGTTTGCATCGCGCTGATGGTTGGCCGGCTGGGAAGTGTGGTCGGATCCAACATGTTGGGAATTCTGTTGGAACGGCACTGTGAGTTGACGTTCGGGATCGCTTCGGTATTGCTGATCATCTGTGGGCTATTGACGTTCTTTATACCGAACATTCGGCAATCGGTGCAAACGAAGACGACGTAAGATTGATTTGTATTCAACGGATCAAATGGACTTTTATGTCTCATATACTCAATGATGGGAGATTTGTATGTGATGTTTTCTAAAATCGGTGTGTATAGTGGCTTTCCGGAGATAATTTCACCATCCATTCATCGACGATCTACTCTACTCTGTGAGACGGATTAGTGGCGGTATTTGGAGAATAAGTATGGACTAGTGAGTTGATTTCCAGGGCATCGCTTGGTAACATTTTGAACATAGCTTATAAGTTCTCTAAAAATTCTGTATATGCTCTCTAGAGCTAGGTACTCAATATTCAAATTTTGAAGATCCTCTGGACTTTTTACTATTCGTAGATGATTTCTGAACATTTTGATGAAGACTCAAACGCTCTTTGAAGAACTCTGGACTTCTACTTCGAATCCTCCCGTACATGCCCTTGAAATTGTCTAACGCGTTCACATTCTTAAGGGCCTAACCAACCGGTCGGCACTTGACATTTTGACGTAGAAGTACGTCTTTGTTGACTATACAGGGGTGCAAACCAAAAAAAAAATGTGTGGCGAAATAAACACTGATGAAGCTAGCGATATGTATGTTGTTTGGACCGAGGCTGACGCGCTTGGCATACATGGCTCACAGCGACTCGTGAAATGCTAATGATTCCGATCAGTAGCGGGGCGGCTTCTTCCTCCTTCTTCGGTGAATGGACGCTCATGTGGGCTGCAGCTCGCTGCTTGCGGGCAGCCTTTCGTTGTGTACTGGAGAAAAATATGCAACGCTACGCAGCAGCACTGCTGCTGCTGATGACGACCAACCGGACACCACCACACACAGTGATTGAATACTGTGTAGAAATTTCGATAATGTAATCGATAAACTCGCACCAACTTTCAACCGATGCATCCGCCGTGTGTCTGGTCTTCTTCCTTGCACTCCCGCAGCATCCACGTGTGTCGAGGCTGGAATCCTCCCCTTTCGATACATATTCGCAAAAGCCGTATGTTTCAAAGCCACTAGTTTCCTGGAGAAGACGACCGGTGATGACGAGGGAGTGTTCCTCCTCAAAGAGGCAAACAAGCTCCTTCAAGGTTTCACCCAACAGAACCTCCCCCCCAGTGTCCAGGGTCCACTGGGTCGGAGACGAAGCGTGGGACCACTCTCCGCCTAAGATCATATGGGCATTAAATAAACCAACCAAAGAAAATCTGAACCCCCACACTGTGGTCCCGCGCTTCAACGAGCAACGCTGAATGGATACGAGCTCATTTATACTGATGGTTCAAAAACAGCGAGCGAAGTCGGCTATGGCGTATTCGGCCCCAACCTAGATACCAGCAGAGGCCTTCCTAAGCCTACATCGATCTTCTCGGCTGAGGCAGCTGCCATCTTCTCAGGCGTTACGGAGTCGAGCTTTTCCTGGAAGGTCATCATTACCGATTCGGCCAGTGTGCTGAAGGCCCTTGAGAGTCCGAAGAACCGACACCCGTTAGTGCAAGCAATCAAAATGGCTTCCAACAGCAACACCATATATGTCTGGGTTCCCAGCCACTGCAATATCAGTGGAAACGAGGCTGCGGACAAGCTGGCAGCGATCGGCAGATCGAAAACCCCAGTGGAACCGGAAGTCCCTGCAGCGGTTTTAAAAATCTGGATCAAAATGATCATCGCTTCGGCATGGGACAAGGAATGGGCTAATACCCGAGACCCTTTCTTACGCAAAATAAAAGGAGAATCGAAATGCTGGTCCGACACCAACAACTGGAAGGACCAGAGAGTACTGTCCAGATTACGCTGCGGCTACACCAGATTCTCACACGATCTCGGATCCCGTGATGGATTCCACAAGCAATGTATGGGGTGCTCAACCAAAATGTCAGTTGAGCATCTCATAATAAATTGCCCTGCACATCAAAACCTCCGAGACCAATACGGTATCGGTCTCAGCATCAGAGACGCACTATCCAATGACCCAGACAGGGAAAGATCACTTCTCGACTTCCTTAAAGACACAGGCTATTATCAATATACGTAGAACCGTAGAACCCCGCAACAAACAATGACACGACAACGGACGAACGACGGCACTTGGACAACACCAGCTCTCTAAATGACATGTCAAACGGAAGAACAACGATGACAACCCCGCAGGCTACGGACATTGACCCTCTCTCTCGGAAATTAACCACAACTTCGTTCACCTTCCTTACTGTTAAAACAATCGACACAGAACTCTGACATACTTAAACTCTGTAACAAACACTATGTAATTTATTTATTTTCTCTATCCGGGACCCCCTCAGGAGCCCCAATCCTTCAAAGAGACGAACCAGCTACGGGCTGAAAGTCTCTATACACCCCTATTCTGTATTTAGTTTCGAACGAAATTCTCATACAAAAAAATATTTTTTTGTATGAGAATTTCGTTCGAAACGAAATACAGAATAGGGGAAAATAAAGCAAAAAAAACCTAAATCCTATTAGAGCGCATTGTATGAATATTTACGCTCATTGTTCTCAAAACAAAAGAAGCGCTCGTAGCGGATCCTTTTTTTCTACGTTTATCCGTAGGACGAAGAAAATCTAATGGCGTTTCAATGCGTTTGGGCAAAATTGAAACTCGTAGGACGAATTTAGAATCAAGAAGCAATATTAGATTTTAAACAATATCTCAATAATTTGTTACTCCTTATCAAATCCAATAAATTTAGAAGTCATCTTTAAAAAAAATATTCCATTTTTCGTTCAAACCCGTTCGAAAAAGAGAGGTAAACCGCGGGTTGTGCGTAGTATGACGGAAATTAGATCAAAAACCCAACTGCACTGATAAAAAAATTATGTTACATAGAACGAAGACGCTCTGTAAAAGCTTGAGTATTTTCACGGGGTGCAGATTATTATTGAAGAAATCAAAGTTGCCAGTTTGCAGGATTTTGTATATTTTGAATTATATGACTTTACTTCAGACAGGAATCCAGGGTGGCCAGACCTACCGATTTATTGGTAGTCCTACCGATTTTCGGGGTGCCTACCGATTCACAGACGAAAGGTTCAAAACTACCGATTTTTCACTTTTCCTACCGAGAATCACAGATTTTTAGATTATAAATAGAAAATTTATTTCGACACGTTTAAAGCAGAAGATCTGAAGGACAGTCTATTGTTCTGGAGCACAGAGTCATCCCCCCCCCCCCTCCCCCCGCTCACAAAAGCCTTCCTACCGACCTACCCATAAAAGTTTTGAGAAGCTACCGATAATGAAAAAAATAATCTGGCCACTCTGCAGGAATCGCAACACACCCATCCTATTTCAGTAGAATCGTAAAGTTGACCCATCCTTTTTTATTGGTCAATCTATTTCCACATTATCCCATTATTTCAGAGGCACTGCATGACACTCACAATACCCCGTGCTCCCTAAATCATCATTCGCGAATCGCTCTCTCTCTCTCTCGGTGCAGTTTTTCTCGCGATTTCGCTTCTCTACACCACACCGGAATCAGCACTTTCTAAAAGATTTCACAGACACATTGGTATACATTCATATATCTCTTTTTGACGTGTTTAATGTGTACATAGGAGCTAGTATTGTGCGAAAATATTCCTCGAGCCGCTGATCGATGCGGTGATAACAACAATACCACCTAAAATAATAATTATTGTTTGTTATCACTTTCGGTACAGCGTGCGACAAGAGTGTTTGTTTCCCTCACCCTCACAAGAGTAGCATTTTCCCATTATTACCGAACAGTAAGCCGTAGGTATTGAGTTGTGTGGTAGTCGTGTAAGTGTTGCTATGTTAGCTCGGTTCCGTTTGTAAGTGCGTTACACTTTCCATCTATCTTCATTGGATACACGTCCCGTCAGTAGTCGGTTCCCATCGATTCTCTCCTCCGCATTCGTTTACCGGAATGTGTATTCTGATCTAAAAAGAAAGGAAAAAATCTATTATACAACAATCGTGCGCATTTTGTCGGCGGAAGCGGTTTCAATTTGAAAGAAAAATATTGAAGTTACTATTTGTATTACTATTCTGTTGTGTGCAGTGGAATAAACCGTGAAGATGAGCATTTTCACTGGAGTTGAAGTTGGACCTCCGATCGAGGTGTTTGCCCTGAACCAGGCCTGCCTGAAGGATCCAAACCCGAACAAGGTCAACCTGGGAGTCGGAGGTGAGTAGTAGTAGGTGGTGCATCTTTCCTTTTATGAATGAATTTTACGCGTTACGTTGAACTACGTTCCTGCAAGGGTGCTACGATCATTTTCATCGACACCCACCACGCAGCTGATGGAGTATTTATTTAGATTGCGAAAAAAAGAGTGAGAGTGCCATGCACACTCGCTCTAGTAGATTAGGGAGGGCTTCGTCAAGGTCAAAAAGGTCAGCTGTATGAGATTTTCGCGTATACAGGCATGATGTGCCGCGGTGACTGCGTGCAGAAATGAGATGTTTTCATCATCATTTTGAGGCACCACCAGCCAGCACCGGGTGATGGTGCGACCGGCTTCATTTCTTCATCATCGTGGAGTCGTTTGCTTCGTATCATCGTGCAGCCAGTCAGTCAGGCATATCAATTGAAGGTAGAGAGGGCTTATTGAGTCTAACAAGCACTGATATGGCGACGAGTGCGAAATTTGATACTACTTGAGAGTCGAGGCACCGGCATGCTTATTGATGATAATTGTTCATCGTACCTATCTGTTCTCAGGGCCTCAGATAGCCTAGTGAGTGAAGGCACGGTATTACCGATTCCCGGTTGAGAAAATTTTGCTGCGTGGAAGTTTTCTCGGCTTCCCTGAGAGTATCATTGTGCTTGCCACACAATATACAAATGCATGTATTGGTTGGCATAGAAAGATTTCTATGTGCTATGCTGAGTTCCTGCAGTTTTTAGAAATTTCTCCATACCTCCACGCAGAAAAAAGTTTTTTTAATTTCAATTATATTATGTATTAAAAACAACAACAAAAATTATCATTCCCCGGCTAATAACTTTTTTTTATTGAATTCAACAATAAATCTTTATTGTTCGGACATAAAATATTGTTCTTTTCAAAATCTGTCAAAAACGCAATCAAAAATATATTTTGTTGAATTTACAACATTTATTTTCAAACAGACAAAATCTTTTTTTAATAAAAAAAAATTAAGTTGCTACCAACAATAACTTTCTTTGATTTAAAAAAAAATGCTGCGAATAACAATTTGTTTTTTTATAATTTGAAAAAAAAAAAATGGTTTGGCTTAAATATTTTAATTTTTAATTTTAGCAGTTTTTCTTTTCAAGAAATAATTTTAAATAAATTGAAAAATTGTTTTTGATTTTTTATTTATTAACAAACGAGTATACAAATAGTAAGTCAATAGGTTTATCCATTATACAAAAATTACAAAACCGTAGGTATGACCTTTCATTAACGGTATGTAAATTAATAGTTTGCGCTTCGAAACGGGCAATGTTTGAAACCAATGTAGGATCCTGTGATTTATAAACCTCAAAAAATTGCAGATGTTCGTCAAAATAACGACATTGCATGCTACGGCAAACTAATATTAGATTATTGTTTTTGTCTATCATTTTACAGTCCAGCTGAAACATATTAATAATATTACAATGTTTTACATATAAAATAGTACCTTTGCTGAATTTCGATCCCTGTTTCATGAAACTGTCTAAAAATTGTACTGAAATATCAAGTAAACGTATTTTTTCTGTCACAAATAATTAAAAATCATTATTGGAAGGAGGTGGCGGCAAGATTTTAGATTTGCTGAAATCTATTTTTGGGGTAATAAAAGCGCTGTTGTAAACGTTGAGTGCAAATTTATACCGCGCCTTTATACTCAAAGATTTACATAGATCCGTTTTGTTGTTATTTACCCTGCTGTACTATTTGGAATCTCGGTGTTTAGCTTCTCCTCTCATTACCCATTGATGGCGAGGTGTACCCGAATGTAGTACAAAAGATGCGTAGTGGACGATATTGTGATGTTTAGGTTTTAATGTATCATCAAATAGTTGTTGATATTGCGTGTGATGAATATCAACTAACGTTCTCAATGTGTCTAATAATGTTGGATGTATTTCACGTAACATTAAAATATGGCAAATTTTCAAGACTGCAAAAATATAACCAAACAGCATCATCTTTCGGGATCAACATACCAATTATTAGTGGAAAAAATGTTATTATTGTTTTGATTTCACTGGCAGTCATTTTTACTTTACTTTTAAGTATGTTCGTGTCTTTGATGTCATTTGGTATGTTCGATGAGTTCAAACTTCCGAAAACGAAAACGTTCTTCCTATAGTTAAGTTCATCAAGAGTAAATTTTTTTTTCACTTTGATGAAATAGTTTAAGCAATGAGCCAGCCCGTATACGCAAACGCCTTCCCATAGGTCGTGCATTAAGTCAAAATAAACATTCAAAACAACGTGGTATGATGGAATCTGATTGAAAACACTGTTCTTATGAATATCAGTGTTTGAAACATCATTTTGTTGCAAATCACGTTCGTAACCGTCAATCGTTCTGAAACTATTATTATTTAACTTTATTAGGGAGGCTTTCAGCCTTGGGCTGGTTCGCCTCCAAAATCATTCTGAAACTTTGTTCGTATTCTGTACTATCCTTTTCACGTTGTTCACGGTTACGTTTGCATTCTGCAATAAAAATTTGCTCTAGCCGATTCAACCTAATCCAGAATTCTTGAGATACCTAGATTATCGCCCGTTATAAATCCTACCATGAAATGAACCGTGATACTTGCGTTATTGTGAGTTATTTTTAGGCCATTCAACAGTTCTACTAGGTTACTGAATAAATCTTCATTTTCGTATTCTTTTCTGTCTTCCGATAAAATAAATCCTGCCACTAAGATGTAAGCTAATTTGGCCAGAATAAAACCTGGGAGACAAGGAATGTAGTAATATATTCCTAATATAGACGTACGAGACGCATGTGGAGAAACTGTGTCCGTAGTGGTGAAATCATCGAAGAACAAGTTAAGCGGTATGACGATTTTAGAATAAATGTTGGCTCTCCTCTGCTGCCATATGGTACCATCAATAAGACTGCGAATATAACCATCTTGTGACGGTGTGAGATTTTCAAGAATTGTCTCGAAAACGGACGGCGATTCTAAATACTTTCTAAGTTGAAATTTTAGCGGCATAAGGATTCCTAAAATGTAAATACATTGAGTTAGCAATATATTTAAATTATTTGTTATATTGTTTATATTTACCAGTAATAGGATCGCTATCCATTCCTTGCTCGTTGTTAACGATTCCAGGACGTAACTCATTACTTATCACGAACTCTCTTGGGACTGCATACAAGTCGGCTGATTTTAAACTTTCTATGAATTTGTATTCCGTGTCCGTTCCCTCAAACATTTCAAACATTTTTCTAAGTATACTTTGGCCTTCCACAGATAGTAGGCCGGCGATTTGCATCGTGTTGACAACTTCGTCGAATGGCTTGAGTATTTTTTGTTGTACGTCATGTTGAATTTCAAATACTGTTTTTCTCGGTAACACATTGATGTCCAACCGTTTGAGGTTAAAACCGATACTCAGATTGCGCATTTGAGTCTCGATAGCCTTAATATCAATGATACTAGAATCATCATGAACATCAAGGGTAGGTGTTTCGATATCAAATTCTGAAACGTCGTTGCTGTTGCGACGACTGTTTGGTTGCGATGGTTGTGCTTCGTTGCGTTCGGATTTAGTTGTACAGCATTCGTTCCTGTCTTCCTGAATTTCACCCACATTTATGTTTCTGTGATCGTTTTTATTGTTTTGTTTATTAATTTATTTGATAAGGCTCAACCGAATTAACTTTACAGAGCCGAGGATTCTTGGTCACTATACAATACATCTTAACAATATAGTCAAAAGGTACAACACAATAAACACTTTATCTTCCGCTATCCAAAAAGCCTCCTCCATCAGAACTGGAGCCGCTTCCAGTAGTTTCATTGTATGGCAAATTGTTGTACGCCAACGAGGGTCAGAGTGCGTCCATTGCAGCAATGGACGCAAAACGTGGTCAGCACTCACACACTCATCACGAAACGGTTGCTTTCCAAAGTCGACGACGCATCGACCGAAAGAACTGCTGATGAAGAACAATGAGGAGGACCACACAATGGTTGCTGCCGAGAAAACAGACGATCGCGTAGCACACATCGAGAGTGGTCTGCTTTTGTCGACAGCCGAGTGAACACTGATCGTTTTTATTGCCCAAGTTTTGTTTTAAATGTCTGAAAAATGATGCTCGAACATTGTAACTACGAGTACAGCCAGCGTTGCCAATATTTTTTTTTTAAAAACTGGAAGAATGCTAAAAAAAAACTGGAAAAAACTGGATTCTAAAAATAACTAAAAAACAGCAGTATGAATCTTATCCTTTTGTAATAAATCTGAAATTAGATGTATTAATTTGAGTAAATGATGTCTCTTCCTCATACCCCCGTAAAATTTATCATTTCTTGATGAACATTTCAATAGGTCCTATCTGATTTGATCGACTTGCTCTATTGATAATAATTCAGTTGCAAGAATATTCCCAGCTGTGTTTGTCGTTTTGGGCGCTTTGAAATAACCTCATGCAAACACAAAGTATGTGGCGAAAATAACACTAAATGTGCTTGCATAGCCGTGGTTATCAAAAGAGAAACTCGATAAAGAGAATCAATCAATTCAGATAGAACCAATTGAAATTTTCATCTAGATTTCATGGAATAATGCTAATTTATTGACACTAAATGTAATTTAATTCGTCAGCAAAAACGTTATTTTCTGATTCATTGGAAACAAATCGCGCCGAAAACGTCACAGAAATCGTTTAATTGCTGGGACGGTTTTGACGCGTTTTGTCTTCAATTAAACAGACAATCTGATCGTGTAAATTCGCTGAAGTGTTCTGTTTTTATTGTTTTAACGCATACGATGGAAATTGGGGCCATATGACGAATACTGAATACTGTAAATGAGCAAATGTTGATGTACTCAGAAAAGATAAAAATTGAGGCAGTTTTGACTTGATAGCCAACAAAATAAAAAATGAGTGTTTAGTATACTAAAGTAGCAGAAAGTTTTACTTCTTTCGTTGGCGAATCATACGTATGTAAAATGAAAACTTCTTTTGTAAACAAAAATA